CTTTCCAAAACTTATTTCCTGTCTTTTTTGATAATAGCCATTCTAATAGTTGTGAGATAATATCTCATTGTGGTTTTGATTAGCACTTCCCTAATAATGATGTTGAGCATCTTTTCATGTACCTCTTGGCCATTTGTATGTCTTTGAAAAAATGTGTATTCAGATTATCTGCCTACTTTTTAATTGGATTGTTCTTTTAGCTGTTGAGTTATATTTCTTTATATATTTTGGATATTAATCACTTGTCAGATAGATGATTTGCAAATACCTTTTCCCACTCCATAGTTGCCTTTTTATTGTGTTGATTTCCTTTGATGTTCTGAAACTCTTACGTACAAGACTTTAATATATTTTAACTCGTGTATGGTTGAAGAGTTTGTTTCATCTTTTTTGCATGTGGCTGCCCAGTTTCTCCAATGTCATTTATTCAAGAAACTATCCTTTCCCCATTGTATATTCTGGTTCTTATGTTATAAATTGACCATATATGTGTGGGTTTACTTCTGGGTTCTGTATTCTATTCCGTTGATCTGTGTCTGGTTTTTTTTATGCCTATAATGTACTGTTTTGATTACTACAGCTCTAATATAGTTTGAAATCAGGGAGCATGATGCCTCTGGCTCTCTTCTTCTCTCTCAAGATTGCTTTGGTCATTTGGGGTCTTTTTGTGGTTCCATACAAATTTTAGGATTGTTTATTCTATTCCTGTGACAAGTGCCATTGGAACTTTGACAGAAATTATATTGAAGCTGTAGATTATTTAAGGTAGTATGGACATCACTTATAATTTTTAGCAACTGTATTAAGACAATCTAGATACATAAAATGCACCTGTTTTAAGTGCATCAATCATTTAAAAAGTTTACTAAGTTGTACCAAAATCACAATTTTGTTTTAGAACATTTCATCACCTCAGGGAGACACCTTGTGCCCATCAGCAGACAATCCCTGTCCCCACCCCCGCTCATGCAACCACCAATCTGGTATGTTTTAGGGATTTCCCTTCTCTGATAGTTTATAAAATGGAATCATACCTCATACGGTTTATTGTGTTAGACTTATTGCACTTAGCATAATGTTCCTGAGGTCTATCTGTTACAGCATGTGTCAGCACTCCACTGCATGGGTTTTTCTTTACCCATGGACCGGTCGCCAGTCATTTGGGTTGTTTCCCTAATGTGGACAATGCTGCTATGAACATCTGCCTGCATTTGTGAACATGTTTTCATTTCTTTTGGGATGGAACACCAAGTGAAATTTATTATTTATTCTACTACAGTTGTCCCAATTTTTTTCCAGTTGTCCCTTCTCTACCCAGCCCACGCCTCTTACTCACAGTAAACAGCCTTTCCTTTGCCCATGAATCATTGATACATGTGCTTTGACAAGTCCCTTCCCCTTCCTTCCACCATTTTCCCCCTATTCCCACCTACAGCTATCAGTCTATTCCATGTTTCTATGTCTCTGGTTCTATTTTCTCTCGTTAGTTAATTTTGTTCCTTAGATTTCAGTTATGAGGTCATATGGTATTTGTCTTTCACTGCCTGGCTTATTTCACTTAGGATAATAAGTCTCTAGTTCCACCCATGGTGTCACAAAAGGTAGGACTTCCTTCTTTCTGCTGCATAGTATTCCATTGTGTAAATGTACCAGTTTTTTAATCCACTCATTTCCTGATGGGCACTTGGGCTGTTTACAACTCTAAGCTATTGTAAATAGCACTACTGTGAACATAACAGTGCACAGGTTCCACTGAATTGGTGTTTCAGGATTCTTGGAGTGTATTCCCAGCAGTGGAATTGCTGGATCAGAAGGCAATTTGTTTTCCATTTTTAGTTTTTTGAGGAAACTCCATACTGTTTTTCACAGTGGCTTCATCTGTCTGCATTCTGACGAACAGTGCACGAGGGTTCCCCTTTCTCCACATCCTTCTTAGCGCTTGTTTGTTGATTTATTAATGAGAGCCATTCTGACAGGTGAGGTGATAACTCACTGTGGTTTTAATTTGCATCTCTCTGATGGTTAGTGATGTTGAACATCCTTTCATATGCCTATGGGCCCTCTGTATGTCCCCCTTGGAGAAATATGTATCCAAGTCTTTTGCCCATTTTTTAATTGGGTTGTCTTCCTGGTGTTGAGTCATATGAGTTACTTATATACTTTGGAGATTAAACCCTTGTCCCATGTATCACTGGCAAATGTTCTTCCGTACAGTTGGCTCCTTTTTCATTTTGATGATGGTTTCTGTCCAGAAACTTCTTAATTTGATGTAGTTCCATTCGTTTATTTTTTTCTTTATTTCCCTTGCCCTAGATAGGGGTGCCCAACCTGTGGGCCACAGGTCACATGTGGCTCAGGATGTCTATGAATGCAGCCAAACACAAAATCATAAATTTACTTAAAACATTGAGATTGTTTTGTGATTACAGGTCACAATGTATTTAATGTGTGGTCCAAGACAACTCGTCTTCTTCCAGTGTGGCCCAGAGACACCAAAAGGTTGCACAGCCTTGCTAGGATATATTATCGGCAAAAATATTGCTACATGGGGTGTCTGAAATTTTACTGCCTTTGTTTTCTGGTAGGATTTTTATGATATCACAACTTACATTCATGTCTTTTATCCATTTTGTTTATTCTGGTGTATGGTGTGAAAGTTGGTGGTCTAGTTTCATTTTTTTGCACATGCCAGTTCAGATCTCCCAGTTCCATTTATCAGAGACTGTTTTTACTCCATTGTATGCTCGTGTTCCATTGATCTATGTGTCTGTTCCTATGTCACTCCCTGATGGTCTTGATTACAGTGGTCTTGTAGTAGTTTAATATCAGGTATTGTGATTCCTCCAACTTCATTCTTCTTTCTCAGGATTGCTGAAGCTATTTGGGGTCTTTTTTGGCTCCATATAAATTTTGGGAGTATTTGTTCTAGATCTGTGAAATCTGCCATTGGTATTTTAATAGGGATTGCATTAAATCTATTGATTGCTTTGTGTGGTATGGGCATATTAATCATGTTAATTATTCCAACCCATGAACAGAGTATACTCCCCCAATTTTTTGTATCTTCCTTAATTTCTCTCTTCAGTGTTCTATAGTTTTCCAAGTACAAGTCTTTTACCTCCTTAGTTAATTTTATTCCTCGGTACTTCATTTTCTTGTTGCTATAGTAAATGGGATGTTAAGTTTCTGATAATTCATTGTTGGTGTACAAGAATGCCATCAATCTCTCTGAATGCTGATTTTGTATCCCATTAATTCACTGAATTCACTTAAATCAGATTGAGTCAAGTGGAAATTCTAGATCATGTGGTAAACTTATATTTAACTTAGGAAACCCCCACTGTTTTCCAAAGTGGCTGCACCATTTTATATTCCCACCAGCAATGCGTTAAGGCTCCAATTTCTCCACATCTCACCAACACTATTTGTCCTTTTATTATATTCATCCTAGTGGGTGTGAAGAGGTATCTAATTTTGGTTTTAACTTGCATTCCCTAATGACTAGTGATGGTGAGGATCTTTACATATGCTAATCCACTTGTTATCTTCTTTGCTGAAACGTCTATTCAAATTTTGGCATTTAAAAAATTGAGTTGTCTTTTAAGAATTCTTAATATGTGCATATTCTGGACTTGTCTTTTCATAAAATATGATTTGAAAATATTTTTCTCGGTCTGTGGTTTATCATTTTCTGAATGATTTTTTTAAGTGTACAAGTTTTAAATTTTGATAAAGTCCAACTTAGTTTCCTTTATGAATTGCACTTTTGGGATCTTATCTAGAACTCTTTTCCTAAACCAAGGCCATGTAGGTTTTTTCCTGCTCTAAAAGTTTTATAGTTTCAGCTCTTATATTTAGGTTTCTGATCCACTTTGAATTTATTTTTGCACATGGTAGGTGCTAAGGGTCTACATTCATCTATTTCGAATCTGATATCCAAAGTCCCAGCACCTTAGGAAAAAAAATCAATTGACCATAAATATGAAGGCTTCTAGACTGATTTTGTGCCACTGATCTTTGTCTGTATTTATATCACTGTCACAGTGTCTTGATTACTGTCGCTGTGTATAAGTTTTTGAAATCAGGAACTGTTCATTTTTAGAACTGTTTTAGCTATTCTGGATCCTTTGCAAATTCCTAGAAATTCTAGAATCATCTTGCCAATTTTTCAAAAATTTGCTGGGGTTTTGACAGGGTTTGTATCAATCTATAGATCATTTTGGGGACAACTGCTATCTTAAGATTGACCTAATTCATGAACATGGAATAGCTCTATCTTTAATTTCTCTACTGTATTTACAGTTTTCATTGTGCAAGTCTTATACTTCCTTTGTTAAATTTCTTCTTAAGTATTTAATTTTGGTGGTATTGTGGATGAAACTGTTTTCTTTATTTCATTTTTGGGCTTTTCCTTGCTAGTATACAAAACCACAATTGATTTTTGTATAGTGATGTTGTAGCCTGTGACCTTACAGAGCTTTTGGATTCCTGTTTGTTGAGTTGCTCACTGTACCAGGCTGCATTCTGGCCTTTTTCTGTGGCTGGCCTTTTAGTAGCTATCATTTCTTCCCGTGTCCAAGAGTATAGATCTGATTGTTTTTGTCCCTGCAATAAAGCTGACCAAATTGTCTGAGGCCCCCTTAATCATCTACAGGGGCCTGCTAACTTGCATGCTTCAAAATACATGTTGAAAAAGCTGTGTAAATTCTAGAGTCTTCTTTTTAAAAAAAATTTCCTTGAGTCCAGAAAGTTCTGGGAAACTCCTGTTTTGGACTTGTGAGATTAAACACAATACACTACAGTCAGCTTCTTTAAAAGAATGACTAGATTTCCACAGGGCTTCAACTTTGATTGCATTTATTGACCTCTTTACTATTTCTTCAGAATCTAGAGTTTAGAGTATGATGACAAAATAGGACTTTAAAAAAATTTTTGTCAAGTGATCTGATAGCTGGAATCATGTAGAAAAAAAATAAAAGGCCATCATATTTTCTTGAATATTCATTTAAGACTTCAATTTTTATTTTCAAATAAAAATACTATGTCTTATAGCCAGGGATACAAGGACTTGGTTATCCTTGTTGGAATAATGATTCTCCTCTATCTGGGAGGTCACTGTACAGTTAGGGACTAGGAGGCAGGGAGTTGACATCTATGAAGGTAGACGTTTTGCTCAGAATAAAGCTAGTTGTCAGTCACCAACAGACAATTATTGTGGCTAGAGTTCCAGAAATGGTGTATAGAAATTCATTTTCTATTCATTCTTCATGGATTATACCTGTGAAGTAAAAAAAAGAACAGTCTGAATAAGCACCTAAAGTACTTTACCAGCTTTTGGAAATACTGACTCTTCCCAATATACAGTCAATTTTTCCTATGTAGCAATAATGGTTTGGATGAAACGGACCCCTGTTCATATACAGCTTGAGGGGTAGGCTTTGATGGGTCAGCTCACAGCATTCCCGTAGCCATGTGGATTGGTTCAGGGGTGCCCTGAATTAGTGTGAAGTTCAAGATTCTCACTTGGACAGTGTCATATGCTATATTATAGTGAGGCAAAAGCAGGTTTACAGCTGTGATTATGCAAAACGAGTTTATTCTTGTATTACTTATTAAATACTGCATTATTTTCCATATGAACAACTGTAAACCTACTTTTGCCCCACCATGTATAAAGCTGGGACCTACAGTGGACAGCTTCTAAGATGGCACCTAATGATCTTTGACTCTTGGTATTCATGCCCTTATACAATCCTTGCATCGTAAGTCCGGGCTAGACCTAGTGATTAATTTGTAACTAGTCATGCAATGTAGTAAAAGTGATGGGATGTCACTTTTGAGATTAGTTACAAAGAGTGTGTTTCCATCTCGGGTACTGTCTCACTTGCTCACTCTGAGGGAAGGCACATGCCAAGTTGTGGGGTGCACTATGGAGAGACCCATAGCAAGGAGCTGTAAGAGGTCTCTAGAAAATGCCTTGAGTTCAACAACCTGCAGGAACTAAAACCATCAACAACCACATGAATGAGCTTGGAGAATGGGATCTTCTGCCAGTTGGGCCTTTAGATGACATCATAGCCGTGGCAGATAGCTTAACTGCAACCTCATGAGGGACTCGGAGCCAGAGGCCCTAAGCTCGACTACATCTAGATTCCTGACTCAGAAAAAAATGAGATAAATGCCTGTTGTTTTAAGCCACTGAGTTTTCGAGTAACTTGTTAAGTAACAAAAGATGACTAATATATCACAAGAAAAAATAGTTTGAGCTGGATTTTTTTCCTGCTATTAGCAACTGAAAGCATATTCATATACTAGCTAGTAGTAATTTAATCTTGAAAAGGTTATTAAACATTAAAATCTTTATATTCAAATGAACTTACACCTTAAAAAGCTCATGCAAACAGAAAAAGAAATCCATCCACCTACTCACAACCATCTCTATTCTTTGTATGAAAAATAAGGTAATAAGACCTCATTCACTAAGAATTCCTCTCAGAAGAAATTTTACAGGCCAGAAGAGAGTGGCATAATATATTTAAAGTGTTGAAAGAAGTAAACTACAACCTAGAACACTATTCCCAGCAAGGTGCTAATTCAGAATTGAGGGGTAGTTTCCCAGACAAGCAAAAATGAATGGAATTCATTACTATTAACCCAGCTATAAGTGTTAAAGGACTTTCTTTAAGCAGAAAACAAAGGCCATAACAAGAAAAAAATTCACAGGCAAAAATAAAAATATAAGACACACCAAACCAGCCATTTAAAAAGCCAGTAGGAAGACAAAAATAGCAAAGTTAACTATAATAAATAAGGAATACACAAAACAAAGATTTAAAACACGACATCATAAACATAGAGCATGGGGGAGAATAAAAATGTTGTACTTTCACACGACTCCATACCAGGAAGACAAACAATCCAATTTAAAAAGTGGGCACAGAACTTGAACAGACATTTCTCCAAGGAAGAGAGAGGGCCCAGAGACATATGAAAGGATGCTCAGCATCACTAGCCATCAGAGAGATGCAAATTAAAACCACAATGATACCAATTCACACCAGTCAGAATGGCCATCATAAATTAACAGATAACAAGTGCTGGTGAGGTTGTAGAGAAGGGAACCCTAGTGCACTGCTGGTGGGAATGAGGACTGGTGCAGCCACTGTGGAAAACAGTATGGAAGTTCCTCAGAAAACTAAAGATGGAACTGCCTTTTGATCTAGCAATTCCACTGCTGGGATTATACCCTAAGAATCCCGAAACACCAATTCAGCAGACTCTATGCACCTCTATGTTCATAGCAGCATTATTTACAATAGCTAAGTGCTGGAAGCAGCCTCAGTGCCCATTAGTAAATGAATGGATCAAAAAACTGTGGTACATTTATACAATGGAATTCTATGCAGCAGAAAGAAAGAAGGAACTCCCACCCTTTACAACAGCATGGATGGAACTGGAGAGTGTTATGCTAAGTGTAATAAGCCAAGCAGTGAAAGACAAATACCATATGATATCATAATCAACAAACAAGCAAAAGAACCACAGACATGGAATTAAAGAACAAACTGACAGGGACCAGAGGAGAGGTGGGAGGAGGTCTCACAGGGGAAGAAGGGGAACACGTACAAAGGACCCAGGGACCAAGACAATGGGGTGAAGACTGTCTTCGGGACCAGGGGTTGGATGGAGCATGAGACAGCAATGGGAGAAAAATTGAGGGGGACAACTGTAACTGAAAAACAACATAAAAAAATAAAAATTTTTAATGCATTTGAACATAAATACTTATCAGTTTAAAACAGACTGTTATAGGTGGATATATGAACCTCATAGTAACCACAAACCAAAAAACTAGGTTTCTTACTCTTTTCTGTGTGTAAACAAAATGCTAAAAAGACAGCAAGCTACAAGGGAAGAGATCAAGAAAAGAACTACAGAAACAAACAAAACAACAAGTACATACCAATCTATAATTACTTTAAACATAAGTGGACTAATTGCTCCAATGGACTAATTGCTCCAATCAAAAGACTGAACTAGTTTTGAGAAGAATGTTATCAGTATAACTAGAGTGGCTAAAAGGATAAAAAAACAAACAAACCTAACTATATGCTGCTATAAGAGACTGACTTCAAATTGAAAGACACCTAGAGACTTAAAGTGAATGGGTGGACAAAGACATTCCATGCAAATAGAAATGAAAAGAAAGCTGGGGTAGCGATACTCATGAGACACAATAGTTTAAAACAAAGACTGTAAAAAGAAACAAATGAGAGCATTATATGAAGGGCCATTCCAACAACAGGACAGAAAAAATTGTAGACATCTATGCACCCAACATAGGAGCACCTAAATACATAAAGCAACTATAACAGATATAAAGGGAGAAATGGACAGTGATACAACAGTAGGTGGGGACTTGAACATCCCACTTATATCAATGGTATGTCACTCAGACAGAAATTCAATAAGAAAACATCACATTAGATCAGATCTATGTAAACAGATATTTCTAGAACATTTCACCCCCCCAAACGCACAATATACATGCTTTTCAAATGTACACAGAACAACTTCCAAGACTTATCACATATTAGGCCACAAAGCAAGTATCAATAAATTCAAGAAAACAGACCAGGGAGGGAGGTGGGGAACACAGGGCGGGGTAGGCTGGGATGGGAGAAATAAACAGAAAACTATTTGAAAAGTAACTAAATAAAAAAAAAGTGGAAAAAAAAAGACCAATGCAAGCCTATTTCCCTACTACAACAGTGTGACAGTAGAAATCAACCATAAAAGTAAAACTGGAAAAAACACAAACATGGGGAGACTAAACAATGTGCTACTCAACAACCAGTGATCCAAATAAAATCAAACAGGAAATCAAAAAATACCTTGAGCCAAATGGAAAACACAACTTTCCAAAATCAATGGGATGTAGCAAAAGAAGTTCTAAGAGGGAAGCTCACAGCTACACAGACCTATCTCAAGAAACAATAAGAATCCCAAATAAATAACCTAACATTACACCTGAAGGAACCAGAAAAATAAGAAAAGACCAAAAAAGCTAAGTTCTTGTTATTTGAAAAAATAAACAAAATTGGCAAACCTTTATCCAGACTCATCAAGAAAAAAAAAGAGGGACCAAATAAATAAAATCGGAAATGAGAATGGAGAAGTGACAACTGATACTACAGAAATTCGAAGGAGATCATTAAAGAATACTATGAACAATATATGTTAACAAATTGGAGAACCTAGGAGAAATGGATAAACTTTTAGAAATATATAGTCCTTCTGAGATGGAACCAGGAAGAAACAGAAAATCTGACTAGACCAACTGCTAACTTACAACAAACTAGGTCCAGGACCAGATGGTGTCACAGGTGAATTCTATAAAAAATTTCGAGAATTAATACCTATCCTTTTCAAACTATTCTAAAAAAATTGAAGAGGAACACTTCCAAACTCATTGTATGAAGCCAGCATTACCCTAATAATAAAATCAGAAAAAGACACTATTGCAAAAAAATTTTCAGGCCTAAATATACCTGATAACATAGATGCAAAAAGTCTCAACAAAATATTAGCAAATTGAACTCAAAATACATTACAAAGATCATACACCATAAAGTGGGATTTATTCTAGAGGTGCAAGGCTGGTTCAATATCTCCAAGTCAATCAACATGATACACCACACCAACAAAACCAAACATAAAAATCATATGATCATTTCGAAGATGCAAAAAAAAGCATTTGACAAAACTCAACATCCATTTATGATTAAAACTCTCAACAAAGTGGGTATAGAGGGAACATACCTCAACATGATAAAGGCTACATATGACACACCCATAGCTAACATCATCCTCAATGGTAAAACCCTGAAAACTTTTTCTCTAAGATCAGGAACAAGGCAAGGATGCCCACTTGTTGTAGACCACTCTGCCTGATTTTAGGAATTGTATCTCTACCCCTTGTAGCTAAGGGCGAGAGACAACCTCTGGAATGCCAGCCACAGGAGACAAAGCCTGTCTCTGGTAGCAAACGCTGCCTCAGTTCCTCTCCCTGCCCCCAAAGCTTGGTTGGAAGTCAATGACGGGTAAGACCCCTCACAGTGGGGGGCAACCTAAGCCAGACTCGATCACTTGGGAGGCCTTCATGGAAGGACTCGGGGGGCTGCAACAGAGAGCAATGGACTCTCGCCCCCCAGCTTTGTCAAAGCCAGAGTCCCCATGTTCTCTGGGAGAAGCGCTTCCTGGCTCTAATCCCCTTAAGCCTGAATACCTGTTGGGGAGAGGTGCAGCTCCTTGCCTGGCCAGAGCATGCCCTGGGGAAAAATCTGGTACCACAAAGACTTGCTGATAAGCCTGTGAAATCTGCTCTGCTAAGAGTGCTTTCGTTCATATGATAAGGGTCCGAGAGGAAATGAGTATGTCTCCCAAAGTTTCTGCAACTCTCTTCCTGACAGACACTGACTCAGATCTCTTTGTAATGTTATCTACTGTTTGATCCTTGCTGCCCTGTATTCCTGTGTATCACAACCCAATAAAAGGCTATGGAAGAAGGTGCTCGAGGCCTTTTTCTCCCCAGAGAAACGCCATAGCCCACGCCTCCATCCGCAAACAGATCCAGTATGTGGCACGGGGGGGGGGGACCTCGAGAAAGTAGTCACCCCCACACCCACTACTTTTATTCAATATAGTATTGGAAGTTCTAGTCATAGCAACCAGTCAAGAAAAAGAAAAAAAAGGCATTCATTTGGAAAGGAAGAAGTAAACTACCATTGTTTGCAGATGACATGCTACCCTAATGATCTCACCAAAAATCTACTGGAATAAATAAATTGAGTAAAGTAGGATATAAAATTAGTATGCATAAATCTATTACATTTCTATAGACTAATAACAATCAGGAGAAATTAAGAAAAACAATCTCATGTACAAATGCATCAGGAATAGTAAGATACCAAAGAATAAAATTAACCAAGGAGGTAAAAGACCTGTACACTGAAAACTATAAAATATTGAAGAAATTGAAGAGGACACACACAAAAAAATTGAAGGATATACCATTCCCAGGGATTGGAAGGGTTAATATCATTAGAATGTCCATACTGCCCAAAGGAATCTACTGATTCAATGCAGTCTCTATCAAAATAGCAATGACATTTTTTTCAGGACTAGAACAATAATCCTAAAATTTAAATGGAACCATAAAAGACCCCCAATAGCCAAAACAATCTTGAGAAAGAAGAACACAGTTGAAATATCCTACTCCCTGATTTCAAACTATATTACAAAGCTGTAATTACCAAAATATTGTAATACTGGCGCAAAAACAGATACATAGGACTTCCGCCAAGATGGAGGCGTAGGTGGAGACGCTGTGCCTTCTCACACAACCAAGTTTAAAGACAACAAAGTTTTAATAAAACGAATATGCAGCCATAACACAGAAAATTAAACTACCAAAACAAGGAACCCTTCAACTAGACCAGTAAGAGGGGCGGAGCCAGTGGCTGGCAGAGCGGGGTTGCACAGGAAAACTCAGCCAGACCGACCCAAACTGCCCGGTCAGCTGTTGGCGAATCCCCAGGTGTGAGGTTGTGATGGTGCAATGGGCAGACCCAGTGGGGGCGCAAGGCAGCAGGCTGACTGCAGTCACACATTCGAGTGCAGATAAGCCAGCGAAGGAGTGAGCAGCGAGACAGACTGTGCAGCCCCCAGCGGTGGGAAGCAGCAGAGGGGACCGCCATTACCCACCTCTGATTCCGCCCCCACATACAGCGTCACAACCCCAGCCACCTGGGTGGCCCCGCCCTGGTGAACAAATAAGTCTCCTCCCCTCATGCATAACAGGTGTGAACAGACCAAACGCGGCTCAAGAAGAACTCAAAGTCCCAGAGCCCATAAATCTAAGCAACCAAGAGATAGCCAAACTTTCAGATGCACAGTTCAAAACATTGGTGATCAGGATGCTCACAGAACTGCTTGATTTTAGTCACAAATTAGAGAAACAAATGAAGGCTAAACTAATTGAAATGAAGGGAAATGCACAGGAAACCAATAGTAATGGAAAGGAAACTGGGACTCAAATCAAGGGAGTGGACCAGAAAGAAGAAAAAAATGACCAAACAGAAAAGAATGAAGAAACAAGAATTCAAAAAAATGAGAGACTTAGGAACCTCCAGGACATCTTTAAACATTCCAACATCCAAATTATAGGGGTATCAGAAGGGGAAGAAGAACAGCCACCAGTGGAAAGCTTATTTGAACAAATAATAAAGGAGAACTTCCCCAATCTGGCAAAGGCAACAGACTTGCAGGAAATCCAGGAAGCTCAGAGAGTCCCAAAGAAGTTGGACCCAAGAAGGAACACACCAAGGCACATCATCATTACATTACCCAAGATTAAAATGAAGGAGAGAATCCTGGAAGCAGCAAGAGATAAGGGGACAGTCACCTACAAAGGAGTTCCCATCAGACTGTCAGCAGATTTCTCAAGAGACCTTCCAGGCAAGAAGGGGCTGGAAAGAAGTATTCCAAGTCATGAAAGGCAAGGGCCTACATCCAAGATTGCTTTAACCAGCAAAGCTTTCATTTAGAATGGAAGGGCAGATAAAGTGCTTCTCAGATAAGATCAAATTCAAGGAGTTCATCATCACCACGCCCTTATTATATGAAACGTTAAAGGGACTTACCTAAGAAGAAGAAGATAAAAAATATGGACAGTGAAAGGACAGCAAACTCACAGTTATTAACAACCACATCTAAAACAAAAGCAAACTAAGAGGACAGCTAGATCAGGAGCAGAACCATAGAAATGAAGATCACATGAAGGGTTAGCAACAGGGGAGTGGGAGAAGGAGAAGGGACAGAAAATGAGTAGCATAGACCGTAGATAGAAAATAGATAGGGGAGAGGATAAGAATAGTAGGGGAAATACAGAATCTAAAAAACTTGAGACACGTGGTCATGAACTAAAGGGGGGGGGGGAATGGTGGGGAGGGGGTGTGCAGGGTGGAGGGGATTGAAGGGGAGAAACAGAACAAATGTAATGGCATAATCAATAAAATAAATAAAAATAAAACAACAACAAAAAATATCTTTTTGGCTATGTCTCCTCAGTCAAGGGAAACAAAACAAAAATAAATAGGACCTCATCAAACTAAAAACTTATGAGCAGTGAAGGAAACCAACAAAATGGAGAGATAACTTACTGAATGGGAGAAGATACTCACAAATGACATGTACAATATAATTAATATTCAAAATACATAAGGAACTCATATAACTCAACATCAAAAAACCTCCCAAAAACAACCTGATTAAAAATATGAACAAAATATCTGAATAGACTCCAAAGAGTACATACTGATTACCAGCAGAAATATAAAAAGGTGCTCAACATCAATAATTATCAGGGGAATACAAATCAAAACCACAATGAGATTCCAATTCACACCCATCAGAATGACTGTCATCAAAACGTCAACAAGTGTTGCAGAGGATGTGGAGAAAAGGGGACCCTCGTGCACTACTGGTGGGCCTGTAAACCAGTGCAGGTACTGTGAAACATGGTATGGGAATTCCTCAAGAAACTAGAAACAGAACTGCCATACAAGCCAATAATTTCACTTTTAGGAATTTATCCGGAAAAAAAAACCCCAAATACTAATCTGAAAAGATATAATCGCCCTTATAATCATTACGGCATTATTTACAATAGCCAAGGAAGCAACCTCGGTATCAATTGATAGATGAATGGAAATGGATAAAGGTGGTGGGCATAGACACACAGTGTAATATTACTTGGCCATTAAAAAAATGAAGTCTTGCCATTTGCAACAACATGGATGGGCATGGAAAATATTACACTAAGTGAAATAAGTCAGAAAAAGACAAATACTATATGAATTCCCTTACATGTGGAATCTAAAAAGCAAAATAATGGAACAAACAAACAAAAAACCAGATTCATAGATATGGAGAATGAACTGATGGTGGCAGAGGGGAGAAGGCAGGGGAATTTGTAAAAAAAGGGAAATAGGATACAAACTTCCAGTCATAAAATAAATAAGCCACGGCCCTGACTGGTGTTGCTCCGCAGGGTGAGCATTGCCCTGCCAACCGAAAGGCTGCCAGTCTGACTCCCCGTCGGGGCACGAGTCTAAGCTGCAGGCTGGGGGCATGTGAGGCAACTGATGGATGGTTCTCTCCATTTCTCCTTCTCTTTCCCTATATCTAAAACTAAATAAATAAAATTTCTAAAAAATTATTAAAATACGCAAGTTACGGAGATGTAGCATACAGCACAGGGAACACAGTCATGATGCTGTAATAACCTGGCATGGTGACAGATGGCTACTAGACACAGTGTGGTGATTACATCTGAAGGCATATAAATGTTCGGTCATTACAGTGTACACCCGAAACTAATACATTATTGTACGCCAACTCAACTTTGATAAAACATTAAAAAAAAATTATTTGACCACTTGAGAGTATGTGAAATACGCAGCAAGGAGAGGAAGAAATGAGTTACAATTAAAACAGGATGGGGGGTACATTCTGAGGAGCAGTTCTGAAAGAGTTAAGGACTTGGGGTAGTTAGGGCAGGGCTATGAATCTGGGAGCAGGGTCAGGATTCACCAGGGCCAGACTTGTAAACTCAACCTGCTTATCTGTACAGGGATTAACAGGGTATTGGCTGGGTTGGGGATGATTTCCTTGAGGAGGGAAGTAGGATGAGGATGTTCTCAACTACTGCAGTAGTTGGGTGGAAGTTGAGTAGGTGAAATATCCTACTCCCTGATTTCCTGGGAAGAAGCTTACCAGATGGAACATGGGGGATGTCTAAGTTTGAGTATGAAGGTAATAGTGGCAGTTTCCTGGATTGCAAGAACCAGAATTAACTGCAGTAAACCTACACAGGAGGAATAACAATAAGCATGGGGCACAGAGCAACAAGAGCGGACAGGAGGCAGTGGGGTGGCTGAGAACTAAGGGATGCCATGTTCTCTCTCCCTTAGCAAGCTAAGGGCATTTTGAGGTCTGTACTTGGTTTTTTAAATTCCAAAATAAAAAAAGAATTAAAACAGGCAGCAAATGAGAAACAAAGAAAAACACAATCCAACTCACCTCTCTGGTTAACAGCCGGTTTAAATATGATGGTTAAATTTTCAAGGTCTTCGTTCTTTAAATGCAATTCTTCAAGCAGGGTGGCTATAAACTGTGTAAACACCATATTTTCTTGAGAATGTTTCTGAATGCCAAGAATCGGGGTCAATCTGAAACAACCAAAAATATTAAATACATATCCACGGAATGGGAAGGACTTAAGGGCTTCTGTCTTCAACAGGCATAGGGGGTTTTGCCTTGGCAGGGAGATGAGGTTTCTCTGATCCAACAACATTCCCAGAGAGAGGCTTTACTAATAAAAGCAGAAGAGAAAAAAAATGGAAAGATCAAACATACTGTTAAGTGTAGAAAGAAGCCTAAACACCTGAATCTGTAACGTGTTCTTCATCATGCCAGCAAAAACTACCAAAATTCTGCTCAGAAAATTAATGAAGTCTTTCCCCTTGGGGAAAGGAGATTTTGGAGAGAAGCTTAGAGCTTCTTAGAGAATTGCTTTAAAAACACAATGTATACTGAATGTCTGGATTATATTACCTGAAAAAAAAAGATTACTTTTTAAATGAAACCTTAACATTTTCATTTTTAAAACACTAAAGGACTTCCGCCAAGATGGAGAAGTAGGTGGAGGGTCCACCTCGCCTCTGTGCACAACCAAATCTAAGAACAACTATTTTTAACAGCAGTCACAACCAAGCCACACGGAAAATCGACAATACGGAGTCCAAAGGACAACTAGATACTTGGCTGGACCGGTACGAGGAGCGAGGCCAGAAGCAGAGCAGGTTAGCAAGAAAAAATTCCCGGGCGGTGCGGGGCGCGCAGGCAACCGAGGGCTGATCGCCAGCGAGCTGGCTGCTGGAGCGCACAGGGAATAGGCGCGGTGGGTCGCTCAGTCGCGCGCATTTACGTGCGGAGAAACCAGTGAGAAGGGAAACCCGCGCGGTGCAGCAGGCTCGCAAAATTAGGATCGGGTAAGCAAGCCCGAGGCGTTTGAGTGAGTGACTGGATGCGCTGGGCTAGCGGAGAGGACCGCCATCGCTCCCTCTCTGACCCCGCCCCCACACACAGCGTCACAAACCAGCGACCTGGGTCGCCCTGTCCTGGTAAACAACTAAGGCTTCGCTCCGCTCACTTAACAGCACGAATAGACCAAAAAAATGGCTCTAGGACAACTTAGAGCCCCAGAACCAATAGACCTAAGTGATGAAGAAATAGCCAGTCTTTCAGATGCACAGTTCAAAACACTGGTTATAAAGATCCTTACAGAACTGGTGGATTTTAGTCACAAATTAGAGAAACATATGGAAGCTAAATTAATTGAAATGAATGCTGATACAAAAGATACCAATAGTGATGGAAAAAAAATTGGGACTCAAATCAAGGGAGAGGACCAGACAGAAGAAAAAGATGATCAAGCAGAAAGGAATGAAGAAATAAGAATTCAGAAAAATGAGGAGAGGCTTGGGAACCTCCAGGACATCTTTAAACGCTCCAACATCCGAATTATAGGGGTACCAGAAGGGGGAAAGGCACAACCACCAGTTGAAAAATTATTTGAACAAATAATAAAGGAGAATTTCCCCAAGATGGCAAAGGAAATAGACTTCCGAGAGATCCAGGAAGCTCGGAGAGTCCCGAGGAAGTTGGACCCGGGAAGGAACACACCAAGGCACATCATAATTACATTAGCCAAGATTAAAATGAAGGAGAGAATCCTAGAAGCAGCAAGAGCTAAGGGGAAAGTCACCTACAAAGGAGTTCCCATCAGACTGTCAGCTGATTTCTCAAAAGAGACCTTACAGGCAAGAAGGGGCTGGACAGAGGTATTCCAAGTCATGAAAACCAAAGATCTACAACCAAGATTGCTCTACCCAGCAAAACTTTCATTTAGAATGGAAGGACAGATAAAGTGCTTCTCAGATAAGGTCAAATTCAAGGAGTTCATCATCACCAAGCCCTTACTATATGAAATGTTAAAGGGACTTACCTAAGAAAAAGAAGATAAAAGAGATGAACAGTGAAAGGACAAGCAAACTCACAGTTATTAACAACCACACCTAAAACAAAAGCAAACTAAGAGGATAGCTAGATCAGGAGCAGAACCATAGAAATGAAGATCACAGGGAGGGTTAGCAACAGGGGAGTGGGAGGAGGGGAAGGGGGGAGAAGGTACAGAAAATAAGTAGTATAGACAGTAGATAGAAAATAGGGGGAGGGTAAGCATAGTAGGGGAAATACAGAATCTAAAGAATTTGAGACACATGTTCATGAACTAAAGGGGGAAATGGTGGGGGAGGGGTATGCAGGGTGGTGGGGAAGGGAGGGGGGAATAGAGCAAATGTAATGGCATAATCAATAAAAAATAAATTAAAAAAAAATAAAACACTAAAGAGGTAAATTACATCTTATAAGGCACTTAATATAAATAAACCTTATTAGGAACACTCTGCTTTTTTCTCTAACCATTTCCAGCATATATTTAAAGACTGTGTACAATAATAGATTCTTAAAAGTAATTTACACTGAGATGTGATTAGTAAGCATGATTTTTTAAAAGGTGACTAATCTAATCACAAAGATTAAAGACCATTACTTTTCATAAATATTTTTATTTCCAGAGATCATGCTTTATAGAACCTCTGCATGTTACATTCCTGGAAAGCTTTTTGGGTAGGAAATTCTTTTTTTCCCAAGTAGTCTTACATCACGCACACAGCTCTTCCAGATGCTTATTTAATCTTGGTCATTGTCACTGGATACATCAAATATAGACAAAATAACTCTGATTTAAATCAATAAAGGTCAAGAAATCAGAGCAGAGCAATTCTGCAGCAGAGTGTGTGGAATGGGAAATGTTTTCTGAGAGACAGGTTTCATCCTGGCTTAGCCATTTCATACAGAAAGCAAAATTTAAAATCTGTCAGAATTGTCCAGAAGTGGCCAGGACGCAGAGGAGGTGGTAAATTCTCCACATACAGTATAGTGAAATCCAGAGTGCTACATGAAAAACCACTCTAATGTATTCTTCTCCCATCTCTCCTGCATTTCTTTAGAGTTAGAGGATGGAATACCAGGTTCTCAAACGTCACGAGCTTCGTCTGTGGTCACTTCTCAAAGGCAGTTCACACTGGGAAATAGGGCTGCCCAGCCTTCCAAGCCCAACCAGGGCACTTGGCTGAATGTAAGTGGTCGTGGCCAGATTTTTCCTGAGGCATCTTCGTACAGAGAAGGTGAAATCCAGAAGTCAACTCTGGCTTTTCCCCACGCTTAGGTAACATTAACATTGAAAACACCAAGTTGCTGCTTCCCCACAATAAGACCAAAGATACTGGGTATGGGAAAACATTGGCTAAAATAAAACCAAAAAGTCAGAAGAGGAAGATCAGATATATCAACTCCACGGAAGCCTAGCTTTTGTGTGTATTTAAAATGAATTTATGGAACACATCTTAGACAATCTCGGTTCAGGGAGAGTAATATTTGGTTTGTATATGAAAACAAAGTTTTCTCAATTATTTCTCCAAGTGCCATTAGGATGTTTTAAAACAACCCTCAAATTAGAAATGGTGACTACTAGACTTTTCTACCCATGTGCTCATGAGAGCAGAAAACTGAGAAGAGTTATAGAGAAACAGCTTGTAAGAGTTTTCCATCAATTGCCCTAGTGGGAAACTATTTCAGAAATACTAATACTTCTCTGGCAAACTTATGAGGATATATTTACTCTATAAATTGGTAAGTTCATTATAAGATGTGTTCAAATTTACCTAACACTTGTTTATAAAGAAAAACTAAGGTTAATAGGAAACTTTAGCTAGGATTTTAAAAAAAAGCAGCAATGCAATCCTTCTCCATGCTCCTGCCCCCAGCAAATAATGCTAATCGATCAGGTATTCTTTTCTTGATGAGCTCAGACCTGCTTCGAGAATCCTGTGAGCAACCACTTCAACTACTTTGTAGCTGACTCCTGAGATGAAACCTATTCACTTCTCAGCCTAACTGCGAGCCCCAGAACTGTCTCTACACAGTTCTCATGCATGATTTGCCCAAACAGTTGTTAGGACTTGGGGTAAGTTGAACATCAAAACCTTAGGATCTATATATAACATGGGACTATAAAAGTTATTACTGTAGCCCTGGCCAGTGGCTCAATTAGTTGGAGTGTCATTCCGTAAACTGAAAGGTCACAGGTTTGATCCGGTCAGGCACATCCCTAAGTTGTGGGTTCAGTCCCCGGTCCAGAGTGTCCAGGAGGCAACCTACCCTTGTTTCTCCCTCATGCTGTTGTTTCTCTCCCCCCTCTCTCCCTTCCTTCCCCCCTCTCTAGAATTGGTGAGTATGTCCTTGGGGGAGAATAAAAAACAGTTATTTCAAAATCCATGCAGGATACTATAGATGAACGGGTTTTCAAAAAATTAGTATGATAGCCTTTCTGGTGCTGATAACCTCCCCGTGACAACATGCCTCTCGCTAAGGATCTCCTTCCCTCTCCAGACGAGGAGAAGAGGAAAGACAAGAAAAACCACCTGGTGCGGAGCCCCAATTCCTACTCCATGGCCGTGAAGTGCCCAGGATGCTGTAAAATCAGCACCATCTTCAGCCAGCACAGATGGCAGTTTTATGTGTCAACTGCTCCACTGTCCTCTGTCAGCCCACGGGAGGAAAAGCAAGGCTGACAGCAGGCTGCTCCTTCAGACAGAAGCAGCACTGAAAGTGCCCTGAATCCATGAGTGGGGAAACATCCCAATGAACACATTTTGGAGTAAAAAAATCAGTTATGGTAATAAACATCAACTAACATTTACCATCTGCTACCTATAATTACTATGTACATGTTCTAAGCATGAATTACTGCCTTTAACTGTGCAGTGATATGGAGGGAGTATAGTTCTTGCTCCCATTTTTTGGATGAGGAAATGAAAGCACAAAAAGTTTTGAAGTACCTTCCTCCAGGTCACAAAGATAGTAAGTGGAATGTCGCTTTGCACCTTGGCAGTTTTCCTCAAAAGGCCCATGCTCCTGGCTAATATGCCAGCTTTCATTCTTTATAGGCTGCAGAGCACTCTCTAAGTTTCATCTTTACTTTACCTGGCTGAGCTCTCAACGAATATGCAGAAGGAGCAGAATGTTTTAAACCTGCTTTACAGAACTAAGGACAACAAATATGAACACGGTAAGTAACAGGTGGGAAGTGCTGAGAGAGAAACCGCACGTTTGGTGTTTGTTGGCAGAGGGGACTATCCGCCTGGGGGGGGGGGAGACTTCTGCAGCAAGTCAGCAAGCGGGTAAACAGCAATCCTGAGGCATCTGGAGCCAGGATTTCAAAGATGCACAAAGCTCTTCCAGATTTGTGGGCCAAATCGAGTTTGCCGCTTATTTTGTAGATAAAGCTTTGTTGAAAAACAGCCACCCCCACTTACATATATATTCTATGGCTGCTTTTGCACTACTAATATATAGCACAGTTGCAGAGTTGGGACTATAGGACCAGTAAAGCTGAAATATTGACGATCTGGCCCTTTTTAAGAAGTTTGCCAATCTTTATACTAGAAGACTATTATGCACTGATTTTAATTTAAAACAAATACTACAACAATGCTTCATATATTATTGTTCTGATGATGAAAGCAAATAAAGCAGGAGATGAGAAATCCAAAGAAACCATCCGGCTCTAGAATATTCTGGGTTTGGTCTGAGAAAGTATGGAAGAAACCAAAAATATTTCATAAAATCTTCCACCTGGAGAGAGAACTTTCCCTGGCTTACTCCACTCTAATCAGACTGACCAGCCTTGCTTCAGTTAAGCCAAAGTTTAGTCTGTCCCCACTTCAGGGACCGGCTGTTTTTTTTCTTGATGTTCTTCCCCCGGGTCTCTGCATGGTGAGCTCCTGCATGTGACTCAGTTTTGTTTAAATGTTACCACCTGAAATTGATCCTCACTCTTACCCCCTATTTATTTTGCTTTATTTGTTTACATAGTCCTTACTCTTGTCTAATTCTATTACCAGTTTGCTGATTTACTGTTTATCTCTGATCTAAAAGAAGGGGAATTTTCATGAGGGCCATGACTTGTTCACTGTATCGCTCATGCCTGGCACATTGCAGATGATCAATATTTACTTGTTGAACAAAGAAACAGCTTAAGCCCTGGCCAGGTGGTTGGAGTGTCACTCTGTACACCAAGAGGTTGTGGGTTCGATCCTTGTTGGGGGTGCATATCAAAGAAGACTGATTGATGTTTCTTACAGTGATGTCTCTCTCTCTCTTAAATCAATAAATATACCCTTGAGTAAGGATTAAAAAAAAAAAAAACAACTTAAGAGGCCACTTATTTATTGTACTTGCTAAAATGTCCCCCCCGCCCCCCCACAAAATTTTCCTCCTTCCCTTTTCAGAGACTGGAAGGGAAGACATTTTCTTGACTCCTCCTCCTGCTTGCACAGAGGGGCACCTTCCTGCCAGAGTGTTTCAGAACATCTGTCAGTGAGGTGAGATGAGCCTCAAACCCACCAGGTAGACCAAGCATTAAATCAAAACTTGTTCCTGCATTCCCTTCTCACTTCCACTTGTCCTGGATCTCAGTGTTGTTAGGGAAGTGCTCAGATTGGTCAAGAGTGAGCAGTGCTGTGCTAAGAGCCTCTGAACTGGCTCAGTTTACAGCTTCAATTCACTTCCAGTCCCGCAGAGGAAACTGTGGAGCAAGGGGTTGGCCCTGGAGTGGGTGCTCTGGTATGTTCCTCACGAAACAAAAATACTGTAGCCTCATAGGTGAAACATGAAAGGAGAAGAAATTCTTTTCACTTTAACTGTGATATTTACTTGGCTAAGAGAAAGAGCAATTTAGGGTATCCATGACACAACTAATATAGGTCTTTATTTCTGTGTATTTCTGGCTGTTTCTACTGTTCCTGTATGGGGTGTATTCTTATTTTTTTTTTTAGGTCAATGAAAGTAGCAGAATGTAGCCACAAAACAAGAACTCAGCTGTTTTTGGAATCTATATTTCCTTTCAGTTTCCTCCATCAACAGTTCAATAATCTAAGAAAAGAGATTCTAGATCCTTTCTTAATGTAGTGATTTGGTTCCTTTACACAGACTGCAAATAAACTACTTCTCTTGATGTGTAGCATGTTGCAATGATTAATAAACTTTAAATTCCAGACATTGTTCCTTATATATAATCTAAGTATCTCTTGCAGAATTTCATTTTCTCCTTCATAGAATTTTTTCAGAGACAAACTCGTGACAGTTACTCCTTTATAGTCTTGAAAATGGTTCAGAATTAATTCTAAGTCCTTTTAATCTTTCCTCAGAGATGCCACCTGACTACCCCTTATTCTGACTGGTATTCTCTATACCCCCTTCTACAATTTCCTGAAGTATAGGAAATTGTGGAATTTTCTTAAAATGTAGTGCCCCAGAATATAAATATTGTCCAAAATAGTTATTTGAAAACATAAAATGTATCTCTCACCCCACAGAAAAATATGAAATGAAACCTGGCATGTCTAAGTGGTTTTTGAAGTAAAATCTCAGGACCTTATCCAACATGCCCCTGCCTTTTGTTAAATTGACTCTCCAGGCTCCTCCTTTCCTCTTAAACGTTTATCTGTACACTACTAATTATGATGTGTTAATCACTTAACTGTTTAACCTTCTCATTAAACAACTCCCACCCCAGTATATGCTGAAAAAGACTCCAGCTTCTATTCCAGTCATGCATCTTCTAATAGCGTATCAAAGAAACCACTATAAACTGGGCCCAAATAACTACTTCTATTTAAAAATAATATACCACAGTTGACATTTAACAATGTGTTTTATGGAGCAAATACTTTTAAAATGGCAGAAAATATGATTGGCCATGAATAAAAAGTAAAGATTTTTATGTTTCAATGGATTTCCTTCAAGTTCTTTTAAGAATGAATACAATGTCTAAGGGTGACAGTGAAGAGATGGCTCACCACAGTCTGTGTGCTGGAGAACAGAACTGGAAAACAAAACGACATGACTTGCAATGCATAAATCACGAACAAGAGAGGCAACTTCTCACGAAAACGCCACTGATTCACATCTCCAATCTGACGGGGCAGGCGGCCTTCTATGACTAGTTCTTTACCATATGGTAAGTGGCATGACAACACAAGCAAAAGGCCAAGTGTCAAACTGTATCTCAGTGATAAGACCTTTATTTGGCCGACTGCTCCACATATGCTGCACATCAGAAAGAGAATGCAAGTCAGGTTAGGACGAGCACCCCCCATTTGTTATTACTGAGCTATCAAACGACATCTGGTTAACAGGACTTACAGTAAGGGGAGTTTCAAAGTTTGACAACTGAAACAAGAGAGGTTTTTAGTTTGCAAGTGGCATTTAAAAAAAGATCCTTACATTCATGGATTTAGAGCTGTTCAAACTCTTGATTAAGCCTCAGAGTAAGTTACCTATAATTTTGTGAGTCACTGGTTTGAATCTTATCAACAGAGAAGGCAATATAAAGAGTTAAAGTTGCAGTGTACTGAGCAAGTAGAGTTGAACAACTGATGGAATTCTGTTATCCATCTCCCAAATGAAAGTCAGTAATGAACTTGGATTAAGTGGCCTTCCCAACAACTGTCCTCACTGCTTTGCACATGGCCCTCATTCCCACCAGGGAATGCACAAGGTGGTTCCAGAAACACTGGAAATCACAGCGCAGTATGAATTATACTTTCCTGAACAATCTGTGTGAAATGTGTGGAGATCACACTTCCCTGAAATGACAGAGCACAGACATCCTGGACCCTGACTCTCAAAACTAAGAGAAGCAAAAACTCTTGAGTTTCTTGAGAGTTATTACTAATTTTCAAGCTTGCAGAATCAAACTGGGAGGCTGTTGTAAAATGACGATGAACGACACTCCTCATATTCAGTCTTAAGGGAAGAAAAAGCTGTGAGAATGTTTAGGGGAATAAATGCCACCAGAAAGCATGCTTCTCTATGGTTTGGGGTTGGAGGAAGGGACAGGAAGTGAAAAGCCACACACTTTCTGTACCTATCAGATTTGAGAAATTACTGGGTTCACACAGAGTTCTGCCGCAGGAGGAAAACCTGTTCTGCTGATCACTAAGCATAAAGGTGATGAACATGCAGAGACTGCCAAAAGATAATGTCGGGCTTAGAAGAACTGCTAACACTAGCTCTCATCCCTCAGAAGTTAGGGCTGGGAAGAAAGTAAGAGGAGGATTTCTGTTAAACAACAATACTTTCAATGTTTACATGAACAGGCACTATGCTTGTTACTTATCAAGGAAAACAGAGCAAATAATACAATACCTGACCCTTTGGGGGCTTAGAATCAAACATGTCTTCTGGGACAGATGAAGTACCTTTATTAATAATAGCCTTAGTAAATGAAGAATCTAAAAGATGTATGAAGAATCTAAAAGATGGGGTTTAACTGCATAACTTATTTTTATCAGGCTATACTACCACTTAATTTTCTCAAGGGTGACTCAGTTTCAACCTAGCTAGTTTCCTTCTGACGGCTGAAATAACTGAGGCTTTGGACAGTGTACAGGATTTATCCAGGGTCACAATGGTTAAGAACAGTGCTAAAATGGACATGTGTATCACAAAGTCATCTTGCTTACCTATCAAGTCTCCTATTTATTTCTTCCTGCATGGCAGTAATAATGGTCACTTTAGCCATATTTTGTCTTCTTGTAAAAAATGAGCTGGGATTTTCCTTCCTTCTCTACAGGGACAAGTGCTAAATGTTAAAGGATCAAACTAGAATACCTCTGCACAAACATATACTCAAAACTGAAACAAAGAGCTGTGACCAGTAAGTAACACAATGGGTCAAAATGTCATCTATTTTCAGAAATGTGAGGGCCCACACAAATCGAAGACATTATGCAAAATGCCTCTCTCAGATATTAAACAAATTCTAGTACAAACTTTCAAAAGAAATTTTATCTGTATATTCTGGGCTTTTCATCACCTAAGTAGTTTGGATTTCATATTTAATATAACCTTCTCTTCTATCTTTTTGTTCTTACTAGGAAGAAGGCAGAGGAAGATTCAACTCTGTCAGCGACCCTGTAAAAACATTTGTCTGATCTGTGGCCCCTGGCTTCCTCTCTGAAGTAACAGAGAGGCACAGGGAAAGAAACAAAAAGGTTACCCTCCACTGTGGAAGAACTTTTCTTGGTCCATAAAATAACATGGCCTGAGCCATGTGCAGCGGTAACTACTTGATGACACTTTGCTAAGCTGCTGTGAATGTCTTTTTAAGTAAACAGTAAACATGGCTTTACGACTGACAAGGAAACAAATGCCAAGTGGTCAGAGCTGAGTTTAAAAGTCAGATACTTCAAAATGCCTGGTGGGTGGATTTTTAAATTAAAGGAAATGACACTGTTTCCTTTGAAGAATGCCATTCTTGTTCCTAGGTCCCTTTGTGGCAAGATCTCAACCACTAAGTCAAATGTAAGAAGCATCAGTGATTTCCAAGTTTGCACAAAGATTTTTTTCTTTATGAAACTAACTTGTTGGTCTTCAACCTTTATGTGAAGTTGCAGCAAGTGTTAACTCCGAAGTGAGGTTCAATTGACGTTCTTAAGGTCACGTAGTCAGCAAGAGATGAGCAAATAAGCCCAGAAGTACTCCCCACCAGTCTACACTTCTAACCACTATACCACACCAGCTCACGTCTGATTCATTTTGAGAAATGAGTATACTTTACGATTTCAAATGCTAACTTGTACATGCTCTTCAAATAATTTTTGAAATCTAGCACTACAAAATAAACTGTGCTGATGAAAATGGACAATTGTTTTGAATTCATCCTTTCTCCTGACATCCAAGAAGCACCTTCCAACACCATGAACTAAATGAAGACTTAGGGGTGTCCAACCTTTTGGCATCTCAGGGCCACACTGGAAGAAGAGTTGTCTTGGGCCACACATTGAGTACACAAACACTAATGAAAACAAACAAAAAAATCTCAATGTTTTAAGTAAATTTTCAATTTTGTGTTGAGCTGTATGCATAGCCATCCTAAGCCACATGAAGTCCACAGGCCACAGGTTAAATACCCCTGCAAGAAGTGCCTCTAAGCAAGCAAGTTCTGGCAGACATAGCTAAATGAACTGATTTAGCATACCTTTACCTGGCACACTAATACCTGCACTACAATTAAGGATGGTAGTTCTCAACTGTGTCTGCACAAATTACAATCACCCAGGGAACTTAAACAATACCTGTTTCCAGGCTCTACCTCAGACCAATGCATCAAAATCTTTCGATCAGGTATCGGTCTTTTTCAAAAGCTCCCTATGGGGCCCTAGCTGGTGTGGCAGTTTGATTCCCGGTCATGGCACATGCCTGGGTTGTGGGCCAGGTCCCCAGTAGGGGGCATGCGAGAGGCAACCAGACATTCTCTCCCTGTTTCTCCCTCTCTTCCCCTCCCTAAAATAAATAAATCTAAAATATAAAAGCTCCCTATGTGATTCTAATGTACAACCACTATTACATTTTTGAAGTGGATTTCTAGTCAAGATGGAAGAGTAGGTAAACACAGCTTTCCTCCTCACATAACCACAGCAAAAATAACAACTAGACTACAAAACAAATTATTACCCAGAATCATCGGAATATCGATCGAGCTGTATGGAAGTCTGACAACCAAGGAATTAAAAAAGTCACACTTGTCCAGATGGGTAGCAGAGGTGAGGATGTGGAGATGCAGAATGGGCAGGCCCATACCCATGTGTGGTGGATAGAAATCGGGAGGGGCACCTCGGGAGTGAGAGATCTCAGTCCCACACCAGACCACCCAGCCCAGGGCTCCAGTGCCAGGAACACAAGTCCCCATAACTTCTGGCTGTAATAACTTATGGGGGTTAGGATGGCAGAAGAAAGTGGGGGGTTCTTAGGAGTCTCCTCTTAAAGGGCCCATAACAGACTTAGGACTTATGCAGACTCACTCCCTTTGGGCTTCAGCACCAGGGCAGCAGCTGGCATACAAGTGCCAGGGGACAGCTTCCTCCCAGACAAAACTTCAGAGGCCAGGCAGTGGCACTGTCTCCTTTCTGAGCCCTCCCCCACGCAAAGCCACAGAGTGGTGATACCATATTGGAGACTATCAACCAGGGTTGTACCGCCCTGCCAATTACCTAAAGCTGGGTCCTATCCAACTTACATGCAGTTTTCTACTATAGGCCACGCTACTAAGACAAAGTCAAAACAGCTCTACCTAATGTGTAGAAACAAACACAAGGAGGCTGACAAAATGAGGAGACAAAGCAATATGGCCCAAAGAAAAGAACAGAACAAAACTCCAGAAGAAGAACTAAACAAAATGGAAAAAAAGCATTTTATCAGATGCAGAGTTCAAAACACTGGCTATTAGTAGAGTGGGTGAAACTGAGAATCAAATCAATGATTCGGAACATAAGGAAGAAAGAACAGCAAGAAAAAAAAGAATAGGATAGGCTAAGGATAGGCTCAGAAAAACAAGGATAGGCTAAGAAGCATCTGGGAGAAATTGAAATAACATTCAAATCACAAGGGTGCCAGAAGGAGAAGAGAAAGAGCAAAAAATTGAAAACTTATTTGAAAAAGTAATGAAAGAAAACTTCCCAAATTTGGTGAAGGAAATAGATATACACATCCAAGAAGCAAAGATAGTCCCAAACAAGATGGACACAAAAAGGACCACACCAAGACACATCATAATTAACACACCAATGGTTAAAGATAAAGAAAGAATCTTAAATATAGCAAGAGAGAAGCAGATATTTACCTACAAAGGAGTTCCCATAAGACTGTCAGCTGATTTCTCAAAATAAACTGCAGGCTGAAAGGGACTGGCAAGAAGTACTCAAAATGATGAAAAGCAAGGACCTACAACCTAGATGACTCTATCCAGCAAAGATACCATTTAGAATGGAAGGACAGATGAAGTGCTTCCTATCATCATCAGCTGATGGGAGTTCATCATCACCAAGAAGTTCATAGGAGTTCATCATCGCCAAGCCATTATTAAATAAAATGTTAAAGTTGCTTATTTAAGGAAAAGAAGATTAAAACTATGAACATTAAAATGACAATAAATTCACAATAATCAACAGTTGAATCTAAAAAAAAAATCTAAGCAAATAGGTAGAACAGAAACAGAATCACAGACATGGAGATCATCTGGAGGGTTATCAGTTGTGGGGGGAGAATGGGGGAAAGGGTACAGGGATTAAGAAGTACAAATTGGTAGGTACCGAATAGACAGGTGGATATTTTGACCAGTACAGGAAACAGAGAAGCCAAAGAACTTATATGCATGACCCATGGACATGAACTAAGAGGGGGACTGCTGGAGGAAATAGAGGGTAGAGGGGGGAAAGAGGAGGAAAACTGGGACAACTCTTATAGCACAATCAATAAAATATATTAAAAAATTTTAAAGTGGATATATATATAGTTCTTATCATTTATATACTTAATTATACTGTTAGAAGAAAATGAATAGTAAAGGAAATGAGATCCTTACATAAATACCTATGTAACAAAGCAGAAGGTAATATAGTCTAAAAGAAAGGTCTTCTCTATAGGAATTTATACGAGAAACATAATATTTCAGTCACTAGGGAGTTAAGAAAGGCTTCTAAGGAGATGGTAACATTTGAACATTTGACATTTGAAGAGGAGAGGCAGATATGAAAAAGAAAGGAATTTTAAGCACAGTGCACAATGCTAACAAAGATGCTTGTAGGGGAAACAGTGGACACAATGCAAGGACACAAAAGTGAAATACTTAGGACAGGCACGATGGGGCCACTGTAGGAGGGTCTTGAGTTTCAACCAAAGTGACGTGATAGGAAGTGGGCTATCACTAGGTTTCTGAACAAAGGCCAACCCTGATTAGAATTAAGCTTCAGTGAGCTTATTCTTATGGTTGGAGGAAGGATGGACTAGTTGAGGGCAGAAGGGAGCCTTGTTTTAAAAGGCTGTAACTGCAGCAATCTGAGCAAGTAAGGAAAGTCTCATGTGGGCTTAGTAGCATTGGAAAGGTGAAAAACAACTAGATAAGAGAAGTTAAAAAGGCAGGACTCAGCAACTGAACAGACATGGAAGATACAGGCAACAGAAGCACCGAAGACAAAACAGATTTCAATTCTGGATAATTGGGAACATGAAAATGTCACCAGAGAAGAGACATTTGAAAGAGAAGATGAGCTCACTTTTCAATTTTCGAGTTTGAATTGACTGACAGACATCCAAATGGAGATGCCCGGGGCGGGGGATGGGACAACAAGAAAACCTAGGAGAGGTGTCAGAGCTGAATATATTGTACAGCTCTGGAGGGAGGACACAAGATACATTTGACTGGGAAGACCAATTTTTTTCTCTAAGAGAACTCCATCATTCTGTAACCAAGTATGTCTGTACTGATTTCTTGAACTAATTTCTTTCACCACCACTGTTCTAAATCTCTTGCATCCTTCTCTTAGACTCATTACAACGACAACCGGAGATCAATGCCATGACCTGCATTCTTCACACCTACAAAGGACAGAGGAGAACTACTGCAGGTGGGGAGTGGGAGGAAAAATGGAACTCTGAAGATTGGTAGCACTACAAATCCACGATCTCTGGCCTCATCTGGGTACTTGGTGTCATCTGTTAAATTTTCTCTGGCCCTTGGTCAGTTACTTGTCCAGATCCGCTCACTGACTACTCTGTTACCACTGCTTACACTTTCTACTCACCACCATCCCTTTACTCTTAGAACATTATCTCAGACCCTACCTACTCCCTTGAACCTCAAGGTCAGGTATTTTAAAATCTTTTCCTTTAACTTACATATTTACCTATAACCATATACTCTTCACTTTTTTTCTTCCTGTCTCGGAAAATGTAGTATTTCTCTCCTGTTCAAGCTATTCCATCTGCCTGTGACCGGGATTCCACTTCTTTGTGCCTTCTCTGGGACTCTGTCTCACTATGTATATCTATGGTGCTGAACGTCCCCTCCTCCCCCGCCCCACCCACCCCAGCTTCATGTTATTTCTTTACTGGCTCCCTTTCCATACCCTATCAACATGCATGAGTCTCTTATTAAAAAAAAAAGTTACTGTTCAATCTCTCTCCTATCCTTACCAAGTTTCTAAAAGGAGAAATCTATATTCGCTGACTCTACTTCCTCATCTTAATCTGGGATATTAGGGCTCATATATTCCTTCATATTACATAAATTTTTTCCCAAAATGTATACTTTTCCCCCTTGAGGAAAGAATACATATCTTTAGTCCTATCTTCAACATATAGCCATATATCTCAATGTATAACCTTAGCTGCAGAGAACTTGTTAGTGACATTTAGTTTTATAGTTTGGGGAATTTCAGAGCATATGTAATTCTTAGTGCTTCTGGTAAGCACTGTACGGAAGTCCAACAACAACGAACCATTTAGCCAGACGGGTAAGAGGGACAGAGTCAGCGGCGAATCAGGGTTGGGCAGGAGAGATTGGCTGGACCGCCCCAGGATCCCAGGCACGGTTGGCAGATCCCAGGCATGGGGTGGCAACAGGCGGACCCAGAGTGCGAAAGGCAGCTGGCTGACCACATTCATACATTTGCGTGCAGATAAACCAAGTGAAGGAGCAAGCAGTGATACAGACCGTGCAGGCTAGGGCCCCAGCAACAGGAATTAGAGCTTGAAAGCACCAATTGGAAAGACTTT